ATTTTGAAGTTATAGTTTCTATAACTTTGTAATTATTTGCTTTATTCACTTACGTTTGTTTTTGCAGCTATATCCTCGACTGACCGACATCCAGGACATTCTGCACATTTCTGAGAAATTCAAAATAATATGCAGTAGAACTGTTCAATACCAAAAAAATGAGAATATGAGCTTTGTCTGGTTTTAAGCTCTTTCAAAGTACACCACTGAAAATACAGCCAATAAATGCTTTTTGACTCGATTATACCTGAATATTGTATCATCTTGTCAGTTTAAATACTTGTGTGCCATCTCCTTTGTCTGGTTTTGAGTTCTTTCAAAATGTGAATATATATCTAAAGTAAATAGAAACACATAGTAAATGATTTTTACTCAATTAAAATATCGATTTTTAGGCCTATCAAATTACAGTAATGCAAATAATAAATTCAAACAAAAACAATAATGTGCAAAAATATGAGATGTCACTCAATCTACCTTAACTCACTCCTTGTACTTGTAGCTGTCTGGCTGCAATTGTCTACAATGTTCTTTTTCTGGTTTGGAAGTCTTCCGGTCTGTAAATATAGCTAAAGCACACCAGATATACAGTTCGTAAATGCTTTTAAACCCGACTTACCCCAATATTCAATAATCTTGTCAGTTGAAATGTCAAATGTATGCTGTTCCTTGTCTGCTGATCCGACGCCGCAATGTCATATCGTCATACAATACTAAACTGCGTAGGTGAAATTCATATAGATTTTTATACGACGTACATTCTCAAACGCCAAAAAATATAGTGTGATATCAATGGATATAAAGGCACAGAAATAGTAAAGAACTGGCAAAACAAGTGTGTATGTGTTTTTATATATACATGCTCATATACATATTATAAATAAAATTCAATAAATATTTAATAGTTCTTGTTCTTGTTTATTATATATCGCTTAAATTCGATCGATGATCCAAAAACCTTGATATATTATGTAAACTTGTTTTTCATTTCAAGAGAATTAGTCACCATTTAAAATACCATGATTACGTGGAGTTTCATTTACGTGAATTCATAGTTTTCTGTAACTACAAAATTAAATTATGTGCTTTATTCCCCTTACGTTGCTTTTTCAGCTATATCTTCAATTGACAAACATCCATGGCATTCCGCACATTTATCTGAAAATATCAAAATAATATAGAACTGTTAAGCACCAAATACATTAGAATAAATATTTAGCTTTTTCTGAGTTTAAGCTCTTTCAATCTGAAGTACACCACTAGAAATAATGTTATTAAATAGTTTTTTACTCGACTATACCTTAATATTCTATCTTGTCAGTTGAAATATCAAAATTGTGTACCATCTTTTTCTGGTTTTAAGTTCTTCAAGATGTGAATAGGCCTATATCTAAAGTACATAGAAAAGCAGGTATTAAATGATTTTACCTTAATATTCATCAGTTAACATATCGATTTATAGGCCTAATAAACACATTCCACATTTTCATTACTTTACAGTATGCGAATAACAAACGATAACAATATGTGCAAAACATGATATGTTACTCAATCTACCTTAACTCACTCCTGGTATATGTAGCTGTCTTGCTGCAATTGTCTACCATGTTCTTTGTCTTTCAATCTGTGAATATAGCTAAAGCACACCAGATATACAGTTCGTAAATGCTTTAAAACCCGACTTACCTCAATATTCTATAATCTTGTCAGTTGAAATATCAATTGCTGTCCTTAGTCTGATCCGATTTTGCAATGAAATATCTTCATATTAAATACAATCTGTACTGTGTAGACAAAATTTATATACTACGTCCATTCTCAAAACGAAAAAATACATTGTGATATCAATGTATACAAAGAAATAGAAAAGGAACAGTGTGTATGTGTTTATTTATATATAAATTTATATATATATATATATACACATATATACCGTACATGCTCACAAATATTATTTTATATAATTTACGTAATCAAAAACAATGATATTCAATACATATTTAATAGTTATTGTTCCTGTTAAATATATCGCATAAAAATTCCCTATATCATTTAAATGTGTATGAATGTAAACAGAAGTTTAAACAATAACAATGCAATATCAATAGTACAAAATGGTGTCACAACCAAAAAAAAAAAAAAATTCTTATTAAAGACCAAAGCAGTTAAAAAAATAATAAACCTATTCTATATTCCATATCTTGAATAATATAAACAGAAATTGAAACCTACCTTAACTCTAATAACCTTGTCTTGCTGCACCTATCTACCATGTTTCTGGTTTTGATTCCTTTCATTCTGTAGTTATTTAATAAAGAAAACTAAATTTCACTAGTAAATATCAATATTAAAACATTATAATGTAAAAAGAAATAACAATAGCACAAAATATGA